CAAGAATTACAAAAAAACCCTTCTAGTAACTTTCTTTCTAGAATGTGTCTATTTCCTAGAGTAAGCAATTGATATTAGAAAATCAATTTCCATTTTTGCTATTTATACTTATATTAATGAATTGGTAGATGCTGATAAAACGTTGGCCTGAAAAAAATTAAGCCTTAAAGAAACTAAATTATAGCCTAACAAGTATTGTGTTAAAATGTTTAAAAATCATGTAAAATAAAGCACTAGTTCTGTATTTTTCTAATTATTTTGCTCTATCCAATTAATATGGACAACCTTTGTGACATGAAATGAGAATTGCTGATTATTATGAAAACAGCATTTAATTTAAAAGATAACTTTATCTTGGCCATCAAAATATCAGTAAATAACCCAGATTGTTCAAGTATGTAATGTTGATTTGTCTTCTAACCTTTTACAGTAGGTAAAGAACTATGCTTTGTATGTTAAGAAAAGTGACTTTTAAAAATATTTAAATGCATGTAAAATGTTCCCATTTGATCTAGATGTGTTCTTTGCTTTGTTATATGATCCAGGAGGCTTTCTTATCCTAGAATTGATCATCTTTATATTTATTGACAATACAATGTCCTCTTGTATATGGTTTTTGGATAATATTAGTTGACTTTGAAGTCAACATCTTGCTGATCAAGTAAATATGCAGTGTATTTTAAACATGTCTACACAAATTCAGTCTTTCTGAGAATCTACACCTTGGCATCCTGAACCTAACAAAGGATCTTATATTGTATATGAAGCTTAGGTAGGTTTGCATCAAAAAGAGAGAATGTTTGATTTCAGAGTCAAAGGGAAGCAGCCCCTACAGGAAAAAAGGGACCCACCAGCCATTTGATTTCTGAAATTTCACCAATATGTTTTTATTCCTTTGGGACCTTCCCCGCTTTTTTAAATCTTTCTTTAAAGGGCAAAATGGAAACACTACTAGAAATAACAAATTAATTATGCTCTAAATGATGTGTAAATGACAGAGTCTGAGTGAGATTTTTCTTTTGTTCTAAGAGCAATTTTCCATAGGCTAGAAGTTGAAAAAGCATTTGAAAGTGTGTGTTTGTGTGTCTGTGTGTGTTGGTGTGTGTGTGTTTTTGCAGGGCAACAAAGTGCAGGTTTGGGAAGGATCTGACAAAAAGAATGGGTAGTCTGGAGAATATTATAATCACGCTGTATTTTATTAGTTACTAATTTAATGTAGGGCTTGCACTGGGTATTATGTGCACCTTTGGGTTATTAGGAAAGTGTCATTTAGAAGCATCCTATCTAAAAGACAATAATGTTCGCAAAGTGACTTGGTTAACACCTGTCACTGACTTGTAGTGCAGAGAAATGATTTTAATAAAACACTTTTACAGGCAAAGGAGAAGAGCATTGTCTCTGTCCAGTGAGGGATGGTGGCATTTCAGTTTCCTGGCACAGAGAGCTTGTCTGCATCTAGCATGCAGTGCCATTGAATTAATAACTGGGTTTCCTCACTAGTAGCAAGCTGTTTCTGCCATCACTTGGGAATTTAAATGCCTAATATAAAACTTAAATTAATTTTTTAACAGATAATGGTTTCCTGATTTTTTATTGAAGCATACTTGACAAACATATAATACATACTTTCATTCTTGTAATAAAGTCTAGCTATAGATAGATTTTTAGATTTTATTTGAACAATTCTGAAACATCATGCAATTAGAAAAAAGAATCATTTTTTTTTTTTTTTACAAAGATGGGAAAGGCATTAAAGGCTTAGGGTAGGAAGGTAGGAAGTCACTAAGGTAGGAGACAGTAATGCAAAAGAAATGGCCTCTACTTCTCTCTCCCTCTCATTTATTTTTAGTTTCATACCTGCGATGAAAATGTTTGACTATCTTAAAAGGCTCTTATAAATGTTCAGAATTTCTTTTTATGTCATTTCCTTTAGATTGCCAACAATGTGGTACAATGAAAATATTCAGGTGTCAGATTACAGATGCAAATCTTGTTAGGTGAGAGGTGAGAAAATAGCGGAAGGGATGTTCAGTAAAGCTTCTTGGCTGACTTCCTCAGACCTGAACTTCCTTCCACCTTCCCATGATATGCTTCTCTCTAGCCTGTTCACTTGGCCATTACTTTCTGTTTTTGTTATGTTTACATATCAGTTACTCTTGAAAGAATATATGTGTATGCATGTGTGTGTTGTGTCTATGTGAGAGTGAGAGAGAGAGAGAGAGAGAGAGAGAGAGAGAGAGAGAGGAGTACAAGAGACATTCTTTTATCTCTAATTCCAGAATTTTCACCAATATTGCTAATATATTACTATTCTACTGAGAGATTCATTTATTGTAAAGCTATTTTACACACATTAACCCATCCTAATATGCCTAAGATGTGCTTCAATCATAAAAACGAAGTTTAAGGTGAGAGGCAAGGTATTTCTTTTAATGCGCATTTCAGTAACATTTTAAAGATTGCTAGCATTTATAGATAAGCATCAGGGGCTTCATGGACCACCCAAAATGTATTTATTCAAGAGTGTTAAGTATTGCAGTGTTTAAGTCTCTGTAGCTAAAATTCATTTCCCTTATAATCAAATTTTTGCCTTCTTTGACAAGTTACTTGACTTCTCTAGGCATCTATCTTCTTTTCCTAAACATAAAAAAGGAACACATAATCATAATAACCCAAACTATAAGATTGTTTAAAAATTAAATGATAATACACGTAAAATATTTAGAAGAATGCCTGTATGTTAGTTTGCTATTACTGCAGTAACCACAAACTTAGTGTTCCAAACATAAACGTGCTGTTTTATAGTCCTGTAGTTCAGAGGTCTGAAATGTGTCTCACTAGGCTAAAATCAGTGTCAGCAGGGCTGTGTTCCTTGCTGGAGGCTCTTGGAAGAATCTGTTTCCTTGTCTTTTCCCACTAGAGAGGCAGCATTCCTTGACTCTCTGGCCCTTCCATTGTCAAAGTCAGCAATGTCTACTGGGGCCTCTCTCCTATCACACGACTGTGACTCCTCTGCCTCCCTTTGTCATATTTAAAAGATCGTTGTGATTGTATTGGGTGAGTCCACCCAGATAATCCAGGATAACCTCCGAATTTTAAGGTCAAGTGATTAGTAACCTTAATTCCCTATTGCCATGCAACCTAACAAGTGCCAGGGATTAGGATTTGGGCATATTTGGTGGGGTCATTATTCTGCTGTTAAATTAATTTTAGCCTAAAGCTGCCTCCTTGCATATTTTACATTTAGCCTAAAGGTTTCTCTGTATATAGTGAACTGTAACCTAACTAGAGGTGTAAACACACTGTAACCTACCCTTGTGCCAATCACTGAGTTTTAGCCAAAGACAGTCAACTGTTCAAACCACATTTAAATAAGGTAATCACTGAGCTATAACCAATCTGGCTGTTTGTGTACCTAACTCCCATATTCTGTACATCATTTTTCTTTTTCTGTGCATAAGTTTTCTTTGTCCTCATGGCAGGAATGGGGTCTCTCTGAACCAATTCTGGTTCAGAGGCTGCCTGATTCGTGAATGGTTCTTTGCTCAATTAAATTCTATTAAATTTAATTTGTTTTTATTTTAAAACTACCTAACACAGTCTGATACATAGGAAGAATTTTAAAATATAAACTATTGTTAGAACATTTTTGAGAATAAATATATGTGGATTTTTCTGTGAAGGTTCATAGTTTTAATAAACTCAAACAATCCACAAGGGGATAAAGAAATTATTATTTGTAGAAATGAAATATATGACTTAGAAAATAATGTATATGTATCAAAATGAATACAGAAGGGTGAGAGATCAGTGAAGACATCTGATCATTCACTGGTATAAGTGACTTGACTGGATCAAAGTTATTTTGATTTCTCCTGGAGTTTTTTTTTAACTGAAGAATTGTCATCTGCTTTTGTTTTCTGTTCAATTTTAACCCCATTCCATTGCATGAGAAAATAATGGGATTTTTATAAAAATTATTTACCTTCATAAAAAAGTATAATATACATATCTGCATTGTTAAATTTCAAAACAAAAAAGTCACTGACATTAAGTAAGGAAGGGAAACTAACACAGGTGACTATCATGTTCTGAACATTATGTCAGGTGCTCCATTGGCTGCTTCATTTTCACTAAAAATCACAAGTGGTTCAGAAGTAATTGTCCCATTTTACGGATAAGAAACCTAAGATTTAGAAAGGCTGAGCACCTTGATGAAATGTGTACAGCTAATAATATGTAAGGCTAGCATATTGACCAGGTTTTTCTAACTCAGAAGTCTTAGTTTTCTGCCCATACTCTGCTGCTTCTCTTAGTTGAAGCATAAGGTGTATTGGTTTCCTATCTGTACCATTTGATTTCTTGTAAGATGTTGCTTAGTCTCCATATAACATATAACATTTATAACATAACCACACAACCTATAATACAAAACTCTGGACGGTTGTGACATCATTTCCTAATGCCCATGAAATAAGCAGAAACTACTATTTTAAGGGCAAATAATATTTTCCTTTCAGTAGTGGTCATATTTATAATTTTCACTCAATTCATGTTTTCAATTTCATACCATGTGATTTTGAACTAACAATTTCAGGCCAGTGGCATTGTCTTTGTTTCCTTCTTAATGAACTGAATGTTTCCAAAAACATTTAATAATGTAATTGTGTTGCTAAGAAAGATAAAGTCATTTCCTCTACAGAAAATATTCTTACTATCCTACAAAATTGGAATTAGTTGGGAGCTACCCAAAAGAGTGAGTGAGATCAGTTGGGTCAAGCTTGGCAATTGATTCTCCTCAAGCACAAATATTCCACTTAGGCTTCTCTTTTTATTTATATCTTCTCCCTTACACTTATTCATGTGGTATAATCATAATTATTTTCAGATATACTTTAAGAAGTTTTGAACCAGATTTTGAGCTCCTTGAAGGCAAAGTTTATATTTCTGTTTTGTTTCCATGTTGTTTAACATAGGAATATAGAAATGATTCTGTTCGGTGTAAGCTTTTAACAGATACATTTTAAAGGAATTTAACAGGACTCTTTAATTCCCTCTTCTCATAAAGCCTTTTGATTTTATAACAAATACTTTGCTATCATATAATTACAACAAAGCATGATGGCAACTGTAGTATCCAGAGCCTCCTTTAGCTTGCTGTCTTTGAGTGTACTCTCCTCACTTCCCCAGCTGTCAGAAGACCCCCGGCAGCAAAGTGTCTAGAAATGTAAGAAAAAAAAAATGTATTGGCAAAAAGTTTAAAATTTCTGTATAAATAATTCGTAAGCAAATCAACAAAAATTTTAAATGGTTCACTGAGCAAAAGTAGTGTACACAAAAATAGATTTTTAAAATGGGATTGTGCCTTATCTTTGTTAGCCCTGATGTTTCCTAATTGTAAAATGGCTTTATAGAAATCCAGGAGATAGAAATGTAGTTAGAATAAGAAATGACTTATTCATAGTTTCACCAGAATAACCTTGGAATCAGTATATAATTGACTTAAACTGTAAACACAAGAGATAATTTGCTCTATCTCATGGTTTTGTTTTGTTTTTTTTTTTGTCATGTATCTTTATTGAGTTAATTATATAGGAAAACAATGGTTTTAAACATTCTTTTCAGAGAAAAACAGAATATCATCACTAGGAGAGAATTCTCCACCAACATTTATTACCATACTGAAATTCTCTCTAGATAAGTATTCTCACAGAGAAAAGAGAGAAATGTGGATCAAATATTGTTAAAGTGTTAAAGTTCTGTAGTCAGAATTGGGGTTGTATTTGAGCTTTATTCATTTAAGCATTGGAATTCTCAATTTATAAGAGTAGTTTTTAACAATTCACCTTACTTTGGGAGACCAAGGCAACAGGATGGCTTGAGGCTGAGGGTTTGAGACCAGCCTGGGCAACATAGGGAGACCCTGTCCCTATAAAAATTTAAAGAATTAGCTGGGTGTGGTGGTGCTCATCAGTAGTTCCAGCTACTCAGGAGGCTGACACGGGAGGATCTCTTTAGCCAAGGAGTTCCAAATTGTAGCTAGCTATAATCATGCCACTGCACTCCAGCTTGGGTGGCAGAGCAAGATATTGTTTCTTTAAAAAGTGAATAAATAAAAAATTCCAATTATTTTTTAAAGTTTAAAAAAAAAAATTTATCTTTACTGTTGTCCCAGACTCTCATATCTTCTGTTTAATTAATTAGAAACAGAATTACACCTACTTACTCTTTGATCATTCTATCTTTTTCTTGTTTGCTTGCTGAATTTCCATAATGTGGGCTACTTGCCAAAATGCTGATGCTGGCTCTGGGGCATGACTCATGCGACAGACCATCTCTTGAAGCCCAGATTATTTGGGATTTACAGAGAGGGAACTACGCAAAGGGAAAGCAAGGTCAGTGGAAAGGTAGGGGAATGAGATTTGCTCTGACATCATATGTCTTAGTCAACATGTCAATTTTAGAGTTTGGATAGAAGAATCTATGCCTAGTTCCCAGGCTGTCAGGCTGGATATCACAGTATCCCTCACCTCTTAGCTTTTGCAAGACAAGATGAACATTCCTAAAGTGAGATTTTGACCTTTTCCTTGATAGAGGTTATGCGTTAGTAAAGAAGGAGCTGCACAGTTTTTCTCTCTTCCCTACCATATGTTAACACTCATTATCTTTTCAGAAAAAAAAAATCCTACTCTTGTGTTTATTTATATTCCTAGTTCATAAATAGTTTTTTAAAAAATTTGTGTATTACTTAAATTTTTGAATTAGCCTGAGCTTATTTTAGGCTTGTTTTGTTCTATTGACATTGTGGTGTTTTGTATAATTATACTTGATCTTATAGCCCTCTTTCCAACATTCATATAGATCATTAAAAATTCTGAGTTCATCATAAGACTCCCTGTCATTTGCATTTATTTAAGTGCCTTCTTTTTTTTTTCCTCATTGGAATAATTTCTCATGTTATTAGCATATATTTTATAGCCCTCAGGTCTTCTTGAGTTATCAATATTCTTAAGACTTAGAACACAGGATCATAAAAACATTTCCTGGAATAGTGTAATGTTTTATTATTATTAAATTATTTATTTTTATAATTGACTGAGTTATACCTATTTTATGAATTTATGAATGAAAGTCATGTAGGCATAAAGCCAATGAACTACTGGCTGATGTTTAAGAAGTAGTTTTCCAGAGGTAGGAATAAAACACAGATATGTGGAGGGTCCTGAATTCCTTGGTGTAAATAGTCCCACTGTGACCAATTTCAGGCTACTGGCACTCATCATTGACTAGGGAGCTGGGAAGAGATGAGAACAGCTGGCTCCAGAACACCTCTGTGTACATTGTCAACGGTGGTTTCCCACGCAGTACTCCCCCGAGTCCTCTCTCCAGAAGTCACGACTTTGGACTCTGTGAGCTGTTTCATCTGGCATTTAGGCATCACTATAGATTTTTTTACTGATAACGGCTTATAACTATTTTTGATTTATCTTTTTTAAACATTATACATTGACTTCCTATTATGGCACAGAAGGATTTAATTCTCTGAACACTGCCACCCCCTCTTGATTTCTTTCCCCACAGTGGAATAAAAGTAGAAATCAACCCTAACAGAAACTCACATTTTTACACAAAAAATGTGGAAATTATAATCTTCTGCTAAACGATCACTTAGTAAACAAGGAAATCAAGATGGAAATCAAAAAATTCTTTGAACTTAATGACAGCGGAGACACAAGTTATCAAATCCTGTGGGACACAGCTAAAGCAGTACTGAGAGGAAAGTTTATTTCCTTAAATGTCTATATCCAAAAGTCAGAAAGATCACAGATAGACAACCTAATGAATTGACACAGAGAGCTGGAAAAAGAAGAACAGGCCAACCCCAAACTGAGCAGAAGAAGTGAAATTAACAAGATCAAATCAGAACTAAATGAAATTGACAACAGGGAAACTATACAGAAGATTAATAAAACAAAAAGTTGGTTCTTTGAAAAAATTAACAAAATTGGCATGCCTTTGGCTAGACTAACAAAAAGCAGAAAAGAGAAATCTCTAAAAAGCTCCATCGGGAACAAAAAAGGAGATATTACAACTGATGCCACAGAGATACAAGATATAATCTACTAATATCACAAAAACCTTTATGCACACAAACTGGAAAATGAAGAGGAAATGGATAAAATTCTAGAAACACACAGCCTCCCTAGGCTCAACCAGGAAGAAATAGAATTCCTGAACAAACTGATATCAAGAGCCGAAATAGAAACAGCAATTAAAAACCTTCCTAAAAAGAAAAGTCCTGGACCAGATGGCTCCACACCTGAATTTTACCACACCTACAGAGAAGAACTGGTGCCTATCCTGCAGAAATTATGCCACAACATTGAGAAAGAAGGATGGAATCCTACCCGATTCATTTGTCAAGCCAACATCACTTTGATACCAAAACCAGGAAAGGATGCAACAAAGAAAGAAAACTATAGACCAATATCACTTATATAGATGCAAAAATCCTCAACTAAATCCTAGCTAACCGAATCCAGGTGATTATCAAGAAAATAATTCATCACAACCAAATGGGCTTCGTTCCAGGGATGCAGGGATGGTTCAACATACACAAATCTATAAATGTAACTCACCAAATAAACAGAAGCTGAAACAAAGACCATATGATCCTTTCAATAGATGCACAAAAAGCATTTGACAAAATTCAACACCTTTTTATGATAAGAACATTTAACAAAATAGGCATAGAAAGGGCTTACCTAAAAATGATACAAGCCACATATGACAGACCCACAGCCAACATCATTCTTTTCCCCTTCCTTTCAGTCATTGTGTGACAATTTTTATTTAAATCAATATTAAGTTATTTTACTTTGTTTATGAATATGAAAATCTCATTGAATATTGTATACTATTATTACTTTTTCTCACTTTTTTCTACAGTTACTGATTATCATTTTTTAAAAATTGCATAGCTTTCTTTTTATATACCTATTGCTAATTTTTTGTATATCTTCCAATAGCACCTCAGTATAATTTTTCAAATATTATAATCTGTAATCTGGCAGTTCCAAAATATTCTTGGCGCCATTTCTTTTGGAGTGTTCCTCTTCTGCTGGGACTGTCTAATCTCTAGTTTGACTGAACAGCTCTCATTCCAGGACATTCCTTGTTGTTATTCTAAGAACTCCCTTTGTTTTTCTCCTAGTGGATGTGTGTTTTATGTAGTTACCCATGTGATAGATCTCATGTGTTTGTCTTTCTTGGATCTCTCCTCTCCCCTCTCTCTCTGTCATTGTGTCACCTTACATAATAAAACAGCAAAAAAAAATGGCAGACAATATGGTGTTGGTGACCTTAATATATTACCTTGAGTCAACCTTCTCACATCAGTTCTCTGCCTGGTGCACACTGGGTACTCCTCTCACTCTGGAATTGCCTTTTATCATCACCCTTGAGGAGGATGCTTTAATATCTTTCCAGGATTTGTGTCCCTGTCTTTCTGATTATCTATTATCTTTCTGTCTTGATTACTCCTTTCTTCTTTTGTGAAGCATATCTTCTAATAATTTATTGAGAAAGGGGGTTGGCTATTTTGAGATTATATATATTTGAAAATGTCTTTACTCTTTCAGTTTTTTTTTAATAGGCACATAAATGTTTATTAAACCACACAGAAATACCGTTTAAAATGTAATCAACTGAAAAATTTTCTAAAAGATTTTCGGTGGCCAATGCTTATAAGAATATGGGGAAGTAAGTAGGTAGTCTTCTATTGCTGGTATATTTCAGCAAGACTTTGACTGAATATTGGGTTTTCTTATTTTATTATATTTTTCTCCCATTTTTAACTCTGTCTTTTTACTTTACTTTCTAGGATATTTTCTTAATTTTGTCCTCTAACTCTTCAATTTTCAATTTTTATTCTCCTGTTTTTAATTCTAGGAGCTCATTTTTTCTTCTCTGAATAATTCTTTATTATAGCCATTTCTTCTTTCTTCAATGAAATATATTTATTTCTCTGAGGTTATTAATGATATTTTTGAAGTCCCCTCCCCCATATGGTGTCTGTTTCCTCCAAGATTCTTTATCTTTTCTTTAGGCTTCTGTATCACATATCACATGCTCAGAGGCATTTCTCATAGGTCCAGCGATCTTTGATTATTGATTCCTGTTACAGAGTGAGATACTAAAGAGATGATTGGCAACTTTGAGCTTGTAGGTTGTGCTTCTAACTGAAGAGGCCAATTGTTGACATAATGAAGCACTTATTGGAGAAATCCTAAGATAATTTTGGTTAAATATTACTTCTTAAACTTGCTAGGTTCACACAGACAATAACATTCTAGCCTTTTGCTTGCAGGACAGTGGCCAGCCAATGTTTTTGGAGCCTTATGGGGGGAAAGGCAAGTGGGCATGGGAGTGAAAGCAGTCTCAGCATTCCACATCAGTCTGCATGTGTTTGTTTTTCTGTTTGGGGACAGTATTCCCATCCTCAATCCTGGGGGCTATCATAGCTCATAGACCCTCAGTTTTAACCTCTCCAGAGAATGAAGTTTGAATGTCTCTTGAGATAAGACCAGGTGGTCGGTTAGTCAAGGTGCTGAAAAAAAATTGTAAGCATCTACTTTCTTAATAACTTAATTCCCAATAGTTTAACTCTTTCTACTAGTTATTCCATGATACCTCATTCGCCCAGTTCCTGAACCACATGCAAATTCTATGTATGGATTGGGTTGTTTCTTAGCTTTTCTCCTTGCTGATTTAGGATTTGGCCTTTTGGTTTTGTTTTGCTTTGTTTTGTTCTTTTCCTGCTGGTTCAGTTAGAACTTGTACATCTGCTTTTCAGCTTCTAAAAGTTTATTTCTGTTGCCTCTTCTTCATTCTCTCCATTCTTGCAGGTTCGTGTCTGGTTAAAAAGAAATCCATTTACTGTAGCTTTAGTGGGGTTTGTGGAGGAAAGAGATGTGATGCCTGGTTAAATCCGCCACCTGTACTCAGAAGCCCTTTCTCCGAACTCTCTGAAATCTGCTTTTCTAAAGCACAGAGCACATTTTGTTGAGACCCAGGTCTCCCACCTGATGATCACAGACTCTGAGAGTGCGTGCTCCTCACCTCCCAGTGTCCCTGCCATTTCCGCTTGCTTCACCGAGTCTGTTCTCTGTGTTTACTTGTCATTGTATCCATGGTAACAGCTCCCCTTCTTACTTACTCATACTTCAGACAGATAAAAGAAAAATGAAGCCAGAGCATCTTTGTGCAAAATATGCTTCTTTTTTTGAGAAAAGGCTTGTTTCAGAAGAGGAGATAGTGGTGATTAGGGGGGAGATATGAGGGAATGGAATGGCGTAATTTCTGCTGATTACAGA